GAGAAGCTCTCCTGACTTTCGGCGACAGTCAGACGTCCACTGCACACTATGGTACTTCCCTCACACGATCATGTCGACGAACCTTCTAAATACGACATCGCCGCATTGCGGAACAAAAGGGCGGGGGACGCAGAGCAGAGGGAAACAGCGCACAATTCAAAACGCACGCAGCCTGATCTCGCGCGTGCGCAGACCAGTCCATTCGGAAGGCACCCGCACATAACGTTTCTTTTTGTGGGTCGAGCTATTTCGGAGGGGAGAAGGGGGAGCAGGCACAGCAGCACGATGACAAAAAATCGGCGACGCAAATGCGAAGCCACCGAGCTACCTCACACGGCGTGCACGCGAGCGGAACTAAACGGCGCGCTGTCCTGCGAGAGATGGCGACCAGGACGTCTGATTGGGGCGCGCAGCGAGCCAGGACTCCCCGACGAGTGCAGGAGGGCCGTCGGACGCCCGGGCCATCCCGAGCCGCTCCGCCAGGCGTGGCGAGCCGCTCTCCCCGCGGCGCGCCGCCCGCTCCACGGCCGCCTGCTGCGGGAGCCAGGCGCCCGCCTCCCACCCCGGCCGACGGCGGGGGCACTTCGCTGGGGGACATTCGGGAGCGGCCAGGAGGGGAGCGTCCAAGAGGGGCGGGTGCAGATCATGACCGGCGGCATGTGCGCGGCCCAGCGGGGGGGCCAGGGACGTAATGAAATAAGAAGAGGCGCCGTGAGATCTGGGGAAAGATCATGGCCCCCGCCATGATATATCCCCCCCCCCCAGTCATCACCCCCCTCTTTTCCACCCCCGAGACATCCCCGGACGGGGAGCTCGTCGTCGTCTCGACCTCTCGGAGCCCGCGCCGAGCCCCGGGGCCACTGAAAAAAAACGGCCCCCGGGAGGAAAAAAACCGGCCCCGGGGAAGGGGTCGGGACTTCAGGGGACCTCGCTTTGGAAAGAGCGAGACGCCGCGTGCCCGGGTCGGGCCGACGCCACACAGGGCGCAGTCCTCGCGGCTCCAAGAGGCTCCGCCATCGCGACAGGGGCAGGGGCCTCGCACAAGGCTCCATGCCTCATCCATTCGGCGCCTCTCTGGAGTCGAGGCGCCCCAGGGCGACTCGCCGCCGTCCTCCTCAGGCCAATCGCGTTCGCGTCGCGTGGTCCGGCCGCGCTGCATGCTGATCCCCACCAGGTAGTCCATCCAGTCCTCCGCGGGCGCGCGGATCAGGCCTGCCATGACCATGGCACGATGACGCTTCTCCCAAGGCGCCTCGAAATCTTGGCACATCTCTCCTCCGGACTGTGTAAATTCCATCCATTCGCTTCGTGCCCAGAATTGCCTCTCCTGCTCAGTCTCTGCGACCTGCAGCAGCCTCTCGCAGATTGAGATGTAAACGCTTTCGAGTTCATCTGCACATCGACCCATCTTCCCCGTGCGTTGGGAGGTGTCGTCATCGATGGGCATCCGACTTTGGGGGAAATTTCCGACTCGGCGACCATCTCGTGGGCTCACATGCCCGCCCCATTGTTCGCAACGTCGGGCATCGACTCGAAAATCCGCGGTCTTCAGCCTCATGCGGGTTCCTTTGCCAGTCTGTCCCCCCGTTCGGGCCAAGGCATGGTTGGACAGGGCGTGGGCATTAGCAACGCAGTCTACACTTCCGGAACTGAGTAGGCCCAAGAGCCAGAAGTGAAGCAGCAAAACATGTAATGCAGATCCTGTCTAGCTTCGCCAGGGACACCGCAGCTGCCGCTCCATGTTCATTATTTTCAGCCCGATGGTGAAGCTGCGACTGCGGCCGCGAGCGGGAACTGGTAGTGGGAGAACTTGGCAAGCGTACGCGAATTGGCTGAACAATCCGTCGAACGAGGCGGGAGCTCCCCTCTCGAGGAGCAGAGAAGGACGGAGGTTGCGCACACGCGCGTTGCACGAGGAAGCAACGCACGACGTACTTGCAGCAGCTGGTCCAGGCGCACAGGGAGGCACGGAGCGAGGGATCGTCACGCACGCTGGCTATCTGCACGGCATGTGTGTAAACATGTCGTGCCAAGGATTGGATAAGACCTTTAGCAACTGCATGGTGAAACACAGAAGGAAACTCCCAGCCACGACAACGATTCACTATCATCAGACACCCACCACAATGAGGGTTCGCGAAGACAGCTGTGTGGCCGTCAAGCGTACAGACTTCACGCTGCAATGCGTTGAGGGAGTCATACGTTTGAAGTGCTTCTCGGGTACACACGGGATCATGGAACTGCCCCAACTTTACTAAGCGTCGGACCTGTTTTCGAAGGGAGTGTTAAGGGGCGCAGAACACACCTGCATTCCATGGTGCCACAGAAGGTTCTAACATAAACGCAAACGGCCGACACCCACTGGGCAAGACTTGCAAATCCCCATCTGGATATTCCGAACGCGAAACGGAGGAGTAAGCGGAAACTCAATCACTTCGGCTCGAACAAGGCCGCGAAGAGGCAATGCTCAAAGAGAAACACACCCCAGGAACGTAACCACTGATACCCAAACAGGTACCACTTCTCAAAGTCTGCTCAGGCGACGTGTCAGCCAACACCACATGACCACAAGGTGCAAACGCATCTCGAGCAGCAGCCGCAACATGAACTTCCACAGGAATGTTGGCTGCTCCCACGCTTAGTCGAAGCATGTTCTGCATAAGAGCTGGACTCACAGGGCCGATACCTCTCACGCCGGTATGGCATCACAATTTCCTGTAGCAAGATCGCGCCGGCGATGTTCTGGATGCCGGCTCCAATGAAACCAAACGGGCGAAGGGAAGTCTTATACCGTACTATGTATTGCTGGTCCTGCGCAACTCCAGTCATCGTGGACATTTCCTCGTCCTCGTCGCTGTCAATGCCCCATAGCTTGCCACGAACGCCTTGTGCGCCAAACTTGAATTGGTCATTCGCCTTGCCGACAACTTTCGCAGTCTTCTGAAATTTCGTCCGTGCCAAACCAACGACGTGGTTGGCCTTTCCTGACATAATCCGAAGGTCCATGCGAATCTTGATTTCAACATCACAGTCTTCGTCGGGTCACACCAGACAACTCCCAGTGCACGACCTCTCCAATTCAGCAACGAGCACGGCGCCGTCCGAATAACACCCTCGCGAACAAAGGAACGAACAACCCGATTTCTGCCTTGATTCCGCGTCATGTAATTGGACGGATTACGCGTCACGCTTCTGGCGCTGCGACGGCAATGCCGAAAACCGAAACTGTACCACCGTCTACAGCATCACGTTCGCCGAGGAACAAAAATGAGGAGGAACAGAGGGAGTGATGGACGGGGGGGGGGCAAGCTAGGTGCGCTCGCGTCATACGCTTCCCTCCCGTCCCTTACCAT